TGGACACGCAATTTGCGTAGCTGTAATTCATAGGCGGGGATTATAGTAATTGTGAATGAGGGTATGATTACTTACGAATGATTGGAATTCATTAACATATGCATGTTTAACTATCAAATGGGAAGTTTACGAAGCGTTTGTGAATCCGGAGGAGAGTTTTCTGGAAGGTCCGTTTTACGCGCAAATTACTAAATTTACTCCTATTTACTAACGTTTCATGAATGAGGCCCAATGAGTTGCTGAATCAAGAACAGCTGCAACTGGATCAGTCAGATTCACGAATGATTCATTTAGTGTGATTTGTGGAATGATTCAAAAGGAAAGAATCAGCTCGTTCATGAACCAGACATCGATTCGGATGGTGATTTCTTCAGTTTGAAATAACAAGGAGTGTTATGTTTCTATGAAATGCAATATTAAAATATTTACTTGAAATATCTCAGAGGAAGTTAATATTTCAATAATTTAACAGTTCTCTGATGTCGGTTAATGGTCACACTGACATGCAGGTAAACAAATAAAATATTTCTATTTTTAGTGTTCAAGTGTTTAAATTAGTTTTACTGTACATTTTTATGATTTAATTAATTATTAGCTTTTTATCAACTCACAAACCCACTGCAGCGCTTTCATTAAGCCCAGTTTGGGAAGCCCTGCTGTAATGTAATGTTTAATGCAATTTATGATGTTGATATAATAAAAAATTGAATATATTTTCCTTTCTTTTTTCTTTATACCAATAAGGTATGTTTTTAATTATATATACATCTAATATACATTATACTGTATATACACATTTAATGATAACTTTAAAACGCGTTATTAAAAGTAATCCAAAAGTAGTCTGATTACATTACCTAAAACGAGTAACCTAGATTACGTTACTAACTACAGTTTTCATCACGTAATCTGTAATCTACCCAGCATATAAAGTACAAAAGTATAACATTATGCTTCGGAATGTAATGCGGTAAAAGTTTCCTAAAATAGAAAACATTTTCATTAATTCAATAACATGTTAATGTCATATTATTAAAATGTATATTAAAAAAATGGAGCATTATCTGGCACAAAATTTATGACAAACTGTGTTAACAATCTAACATCAAACTCTTGTTAATTATAAATATATTATAAATCTATATATAAAAGACAGTAAAGTGTTTGTCGTGTAAGCGGTGAGTGTTTGATTGACAGGCCGTGGGCGGGCTTGCTCACCGGTCTCGCAGTACGGCTGCCCGTCCTCCAGGTGGAAGGTGTTGTTGCGGATGGGCTGCTGGCAGCCGCTGCACAGGAAGCAGTACACATGCCAGGTTTGCTTCAGGGCGTTGATGACTTCCTGTTAGCAGATAAGAAGCGTCGATTAGCAGCGGCTCTGAGCACAGCCCGCTTTCCGCACGCATACCACTGTTACATCTACAGCAGCAGCTTCTGTTCCAGCCCAACCAGTCAGACCGAAAATATTATGTTAATATTTCAATTTTTCAGCAACTCATTTACGGTTTTCAGATGTCAATTAATGGGCACATGACATGCATCTAGTCAAATAATATTTCATCATTTTAGTAAGCGTATTCCTCCTTCCGACAAGCGCAGTCTGCTCTGATTGGCCAGCTGACTCAGTGCATTGTGATTGGCCGAACACCGCAAGCACTCGTCGGAAATGTAACGCCCCTTACCATAATCACCAGCTTCATCTTTCAAAATAAATGTAAAGACCGAGCCGAAAGGGGAACAGAGTCGCGTGACAGACACAGTGATGAAGCTGGTATGTGTTTGCAGTACACAAGCCACGGTTAAGACAGCTGCCTCCACTGTGACGTTACCCTCGCTCCCTCTCTCTCATATATAATAATATTAAAATAGTATATATATTACAAAGGCATGATTATAGTATTATAAAAATTATAATTAATAAATTGCATGCATTTATTATCATTTATAATATTTATATAAATTAGGGCTGTCAAATCGATTAATTATACGATGTCTATTTATATGTATATATAAATATAAAAAAAAAACACACGTTTATATTTAAGAAATATATTTATATATGTACATTTATATATAATATAAATCATGTATAAATATAAATATATATACACACACATGTAAATATTTCTTAAATGCATACCTGTATGTGTGTGTATTTATATACATATACACAGTACACACATATATCATGTAAACAAACTTTAATTTTGGATGCAATTAATTGCGATTAATCGATTTGACAGCACTAATGTATTATATAAGGGTGTTTACATTATACATTATCCTGTGAACAGAGCCAATCTGAGCTGCTGAAATCATGAGCTGCTCGCGTGTAGATAAACACAGTGCCACGCTTTACTCAGACTATAAACTTAATAAAATCACAGCCATTGATTTAATAATCAGACTAAGCTATAACACGATTTTACATTATTTTAATTGTGCAGGCCCTTTTTTTATTACGTTTACCTTCAATTTAATTATTAGCTTTATCAAATCACAAACCCCTGATTAGAAACCCCAGTGCATTTAAAGGGGTCCTATTATGTTTTTTTACTTTTTCAACTTTAGTTAGTCTGTAATGTTGCTGTTTGAGCATAAAAAAAAGATCTGAAAAGTTACAAAGCTCAAAGTCCACTTCAAAAGGAGATATTTTATTGAACAGAAATCACTTTTCAAAAACTACAACGAACGACTCGTATGGACTACAACGCATATTTTCTGGGATTTGTGATATCACAAATATCGATGAATGGGATGAGACCTGGTTGAGCTGCACTAGAGAAGGCAACGAGTGTTATCACTATGTCGGAGACACGCTAGCTTTCCCAAAGCAGACAAACTTAGAGTGGTTATAATCATCTGGGTTTAAATCACGCTCAAATTGATTTGATTTTGACGCAATATTTACACTGAAGCTCGCAACCGGCTATGGTAAGGGGCGTGTCTTTTCCTGACCAGACACCGAGTGCTGCCAATCACAGCACACACTGGCCCAGCTAACTAATAACAGCACATTTCGTATTTCAGAAGGCGGGCCTTGATTTGGCACAGGAACTATTCGAGCAGTTCATGCCAGACTGGGGAGAGAGGTGTTGTAATATGTAAAATATGTGGAAAATAATGTGTACCTAGTATGAGAGCCTGTTCTAGTACACCCCAAAACAAAATCAAGACTTTGCAAAAGAGCATAATAGGACCCCTTTAAAACATGGACTGAAATTGATCTTGAGACAATCAGTGATTGACTAACACACTGATCAGATCTATAAACTGAGTGCAGATCTGATCTAATGAGGTTCACACAAGTTTCTGGATCTCCTGTAAACGAAATGTGATCTCCAGACAATGAAACAGGCGTTTTAAGGCTCATTATCCAAGTGAAGCCCTTCCGCCCGAGCGGCTCGGCGTCCCGTGTGTTTCTGAGGCAGGTTCATGTGAAGTGCTAATTGTGACACATCTGAGCGGCTGGGACCAGATAAACCAGACCTTATGATCCCGATTAAAGCTCGTTCCCACAGAGAGAACAAGAGGAGGGAGGCTGGGAATGACGAAGGAACGAAGCTTTACAGGGAAACAATCATGGAGAAAACGAGGAGAGGAGACGGTGATGACGGGATGAAGTACAGCAGCTCTCAAACTAGTTAAGAGCATCACTCGTGACGAACAATTATATTATTTCAATTATAAGTATTTAAGGGAACAATTATATTTAAATGTATAATTATATTTAAATAATAATAAAAAAATATATAATATTATATATAATATTTCAAATATCTATATTTGATATATATATATATATATATATATATATATATATATGAAAAAGTATTTCAAAATATTTAAATACAATCAAAATTACTGTTTCAGATATTATACAAGTATTTCTATCACTTATACTTAATAAATACACTGCCGTTCAAAAGTTTGGGATCAGTAAGATTTTTATTACTTTTTAAAGAAGTCTCTTCTGCTCATCAAGGCTGCATTTATTTGATCAGAAATACTGAAAAAAACAGTAATATTGTGAAATATTTTTACTATTTAAAATGGCTGTTTTCTATGTGAATATATTGTGAAATGTAGTTTATTTCTGTGATGCGCAGCTGTATTTTCAGCATCATTACTCCAGTCTTCAGTGTCACGTGATCTTCAGAAATCAGTATAATATGCAGATTTATTATCAGTGCTGGAAACTGTTTTGCTGCTTCATATTTTTTGGAATCTGTTCGTTTTTTCAGGATTCTTTGATGAATAATTTAAAATGACCAGCATTTATTCAAAATAGACTGGAGTAGTGATGCGGATGAAAATTCAGCTTTGCATCACAGAAATAAATGATATTTTCAAGTATTTTAAAATCGAAAGCAATTATTTTAAATTGCAATAATATTTCACAATTTTACAGTTTTTTCTGTATTTCTGATCAAATAAACGCAGTCAGCAGAAGAAACTTTAAAAAACATAAATTCTTACTGATCCGAAACTTTTAAACGTCAGTCCTGCAGAGTCCTGCAGCTTCAACCCTAATCAAACACACCTGAACAAGCTAATCAAGGTCTGAACGGTTATTAGGAAGCTACAGGCAGGTGAGTTTTAATTAGGGTTAGAGCTGAACTCTGCAGGGCTGCGGCTCTCCAGGACCGGAGTTCGCCACCCCTGGTGTAGGCCTATATTTAATTTTAACAGACAACAGTTGAGTTACAGTCACACCACTGAAGTTAATAGTTAATAGGGTCACTGATTTTAATTAATTACAGACACACGATTTGTGGAATCATTCACAAATGTTGCAGGATGATGGAAAAACAGAACTTTGAACATTTTATTATTATTATTTTTTTTTTAGAAGGAAGCAATAGTAGACTTGGTGAACACCACTAACTAGCAACAAACTCTCACCCCCAGAATCTTCTGCTGGCATTTGAAGCAGGCCGGGGCCAGAAACTGCTCATAACAGCGCTCGCAGTAGACAGAGCCGCGCTCCTCCACGAAACCCACGTCTGCCAGTGAACTGTGACAGTGAGAGCAGGTGAACTCCTCCTTATGCCAAGATTTGCCCATCGCCACCAGGTACGGACCCCTGCAAACACCAGAGACCAATATCATCGTTTTAGTATCAATCAGCTACAAATCTATTAGATGACAACCACTCTGAGTTATTATAGATAAAACTAAAACCATTACTTGAAATGCATGTTAACTGAAATAAAATATTATTATATTTCAATTTCAGCTAGTGGCCAAGGCAACATTCCTCATGGTTACAAAATTTGTAACAAATGTAACACTATCAGTTTAAAATGTCAGTCTAAAAGTTTGAGGTCAGTCAGATTGTTTTTTTATTTGCTTTTATTCATCAAGGAAACATTACATTTGTCAAAAGTGACAGTAAAGACATTTATAATGTAACAAAAGATTTGTTTCAATTAAATGCTGCTCTTTTGAACTTTCTATTCATCTGTGAATCCTGAAAAATAAAAAGAATCACCGTTGCCACAAAAATATGAAGCTGCTAACTAATATATATTATTTTAAAAAGTAATAATTACATAGAAAATGAACTAAAACTTAAATAAAATAAAAATATGGACATTTCACAAAAAAACAAAAGCTACTAAAAATGACAACAAAATAAAATCACAAACTTTGTAGTATCATTTAAATGCTATTAAAGTTTTTATTAATTTATTTCTTATTTTTATATCTTAATTTAAGTTTTTTCTATCAGTTTTAGTAACTTTGTTGTGCTTGTCTTTCTTTTTTTCCTCTCAATTATACTAAAATAACACTGCAACCACCATAAAAATGGTTTTCCTCATAAAACACATACAGCACTAATGTACAGAGAAGATGAATGATCACGTTTGAGTGAATTACTGCTCTAAGCTTGTATAATTTGACTTTCGCGCCGTCTGTCCTGACACTGTGAAAACAGTCGTTCTGATGTGATCTAATGTGATCTGATGTGGAGAATCTGTTGAGGTAACGTGAGGATGGCAGCGGGGATGCGGCTGACAAATCGGATGATTAGCCTGAAGGGAAAACAACAGACACTGGCGATATCAGATGCAGAAAGCAGAGACTTTAAGCTTGGATGTCAGGGCCGCTTCGACCAGGAGTCTGGCAGTCTGTGGCGTAACGGATCCTACTCTCTGGAGACGAGCTGAAGGAGTCTGAGCTCCTGAAACATCAGCATTCACAGCCCAAACCCATCAGACGCTCGCTTCTCGGCAAATTAAACTTCACACAGCATCACACTAATGTTATCTTTGACTCTCAGCTATTATAACATGAAGGTCTTGTGTAGGTGTTCAGCGTTACAAAACCTGTAACAAATACTGTTTAAAAGTTTGAGGTCAGACAAATGCTGAAAGAAACTAATACTTTTATTCATCAAGGCTGCATTAAATTGATCAAAAGTGATGATAAAGACATTTATAATGTTACAGAAGATTTCTATTTTCAAATAAATGCTATTCTTTTGAACTTTCTGTTCATCTGTGAATCCTGAAAAATAAAATGAATCAGTTTCCACAAAAATATTGGGCAGCACAACTGTTTTCAACACTGATAATAATCAGAAATGTTTGAGCAGCAAATCAGCATATTATACTGATTTCTGAAGATCATGTGACACTGAAGACTGGAGTAAGGATGCTGAAAATTCAGCTTTGATCACAGGAATAAATTATATTTGACTATATATTAGAGCCTGAGCGATATGGGTTTTTTGGGGCCAATACCGATATTACGGAGTAAAAAAAAAAAAAAGGCCGATCGATATATCGGCCGATATTCTTTGAACAATTAAAACATTTTCATATCGGCGGCATATTCGCCGATACCGATATATCGGCAACAGGCTCATATCGGCAAAACGATATATCGGTCGGGCTCTACTATATATACACATAGAAAGCGTCTATTTTAAATTATAATATTTCACTATTTTTACTGTATTTTGGATCAAATAAATGCAGCCTTGGTGAGCAGAAGAGACTCTTTCAAAGACATCAAAAATGATTTTGAATGTAAGTTACGTCAAAAAGATATATAAACACCTAAATGGAAAAATAAATAATATAATATTAATACTCAAAACACACAAAAATATATAAATGTATTCGCTCTCATTTAAAACCCTCAAGTTCCCAGACATGCCAAATAAAAGTAATGTAAAATTTTTCACAAAGGACTTATCAAATTTAGTTTAGAATCAGTTCAGAAAAGTTATAAAGTATCAGCCTGATGCTTCAGTGTGTTTTGAGCTGCTAAAATGAACACTATAGTTTAGATGAGTTTATCTGGGCCTGAATGAATGATCTATTGTGTGAATAATATCAGAAAGATCCTCCACATTCAGATAACCTTTTCACACGGAATGAAGTTTGTCTTTTCTTTGGAGCTGCTTTTAGGATTGTGAAACATGAACTTTCTCATGTTTTGTGTTTCTCATGTACAATGACAATAAAGAAGCTCTTTTAATTGTTATTATTGATAGTTTTATTATTACTACTAATATTATTTATTTATTTCTTGAGATGTTACAGGTCACATACTTTATGCCAATAAAATGATTGTAATTTTAACTGTAAAAGACTGTCAAATCTGTTCATTTATTAATGGTAAATTTCTTTATTTGGTAAAAAATTAAGTAAATCTAACAGGACATTTCAAAATACTGTTGAATGTATTGAATGAATGTTGACTAAAATTTTTAATCTAATACATTACATGATGTGCCCATTAATAAATCTAGCTGCAAATTAATTCCACATCAATTTTGGCTGAGAAACCATTGTGTTAGATGTGAAATGCATTGAATAGATATTACAAGAAGCTTCAGAAAGAAACATTTTGATTCAACATTCCATACATAATGATAAATTGGTATTAATAGATGAAATATGAAATTATAAAAAATAAAAAAAAGATACTCTAAATGTGAAACTAAAAGTGCCAACAGGTAGAGGCGAGTCGCTGTCTTAATGAGCGAGTCATTGAATAATTCACTCAACCGATTCGTTCAAACAACTGATTCATTCAGATACGGAGCTAGTGACTATTTATGAATGAGTCACTGAATCACTGACTCACTTGATTCGTTCAGTAATGAATCACAGGACACATTATCTGTGTATTTTCCGTAATCTGTGTGAAAGAGGCTTCAGAGACACACAACAGTTCTGCTGTGGCTTTGACTGGAACTGTATTTGTTTGTGAAATTGAGCATTGACTATATTGTATCTATTATTATTCTTGTTTATTGAACTGTTGTATTAAATGCATTAATGATTTTAACATTATTTTTTCAATATTATATTAGTTATTTAGAAGTTTTATATACTTCCATACTTCTAGCAACCACAGCTGCTGATTCTTCTGAAAATTTTACAGCTTTTTGTTTAGGGAAAAATACGTTTATTAAACAGAGTTCCAGTCCTTGATTCTGATTGGCTGAGCCGCGTTCGACGCGGTTGTAAATTACGCTACAAACACACACCTTTGTTTACATGTGTCTTGCTCGGCAACCACTTGGTTGGAACCACAACTGTTTCTGAGGAGCTACATTGTTTGGTGGAAGAATACTGTTTTTATTAATATCATTACACTTTATTTGCTCTGTTTTATTCTGTGAAACCTTACTACGTATATGGAATAACCGTTTTATAAAAGCAACAAGCCTCGTGAAGCCATGGTTTACAGTGAAATTATAACAGCTAAAGGGGTTGTACAACAATGCCCCTTAGCTGTTATAAATTCACTGTAAACCATGGCTTTTTGGGGCTTATTGCTTTAATCTAGTCATTTAACAATGGTTGAATCTTTGTGAATGTGGGTTGAAGAGGGTTAAATGACATATTGCCCGCTGTTGTATCATGATGAAGGTGTGTGAGCGTCTCACCTGATGACCATGTTGCACTGGCCGCACATGGGTGTGCGTTTTCCCGCCGGGATGTGCTCGGCTCTCTGCACCAGCGAATCGTCCTGGTCGCTGGGGTGAACCTGAGGCGCGGGTCGATCCGGGCCCTTGGGGAGGCTGTTGCCGCCCCGTCCGAACGAGGGGCCCGTCTGCAGCGCAGGTGCACCTGCTTTGGCCAACCCTAATCAAAGAGAGAGAGATTTCAATCTGGGCGACCCCTCACTGAACTTCACCCACAACAGCGGCTGTGTTACAGAAGAGCGCGGTAATGAGATCGCGGTATTGTGCGCGGCTATGTAGCGTGACTGAAGGTGATGGAAAGTTCTGGTTAAGATATACGAACTCTATCTCTTCTGAAGGGACCATCTGCGGACGGGACATCCACACCGTGCCGCCGCAAAACAATGGATCGGTTTACTCAAGTCGGGAAAAGAAACAACATTCCCAGAAGTGGAGGAGACACCTGGCAAAATAATCCCTTCTCTCGGACAAGCCTTCCCTTCTCTGCCCGCCTCCGGAGAGGCAGCGGGGGTCAGAAGTCACGCGGAGGCGCGGCACACAGCGGCTCATTCAGAATCAAAGGCGAACGGGTCACGCAGCGAATGCACACTTGGTTTCCGAGCCGGTGAGAATGGATCTGCTTCTACGGGTGCGAAAGTGACATGTTGGTGTGCAGACGCGCTTTTATCTTTAGCTGATGGACATCTGGAGGAAGTGTGTGCCGCGCTCAGCTCAGCTGTGTGTGTGCGTGTGTGAGTGAGCGAGCGTGTGTGTGTGAGTGAGTGAGTGAGCGAGCGTGTGTGTGTGTGAGTGAGTGAGTGAGCGAGCGTGTGAGCGAGCGAGTGAGTGAGCGAGTGAGTGAGTGAGCATGTGAGTGAGTGAGCGTGAGTGAGTGAGCGTGAGTGAGCGAGCGTGTGAGCGTGTGTGACACTTCAACACATTTGATAAGCGCTGATGTTTTCTGATCAGAAATCAGAGTAACTGATGTGCCAATAAGTGTGCATAAATTTTTTTTTTTTTTTTAAATAAACATCATTTAAAAAAAAAAAAGAAAACTAAAAATCTTTTGTCAGATTATGGCTTCAAAATTTTTTGTGTGCATGTTGGGGGACGTGAAACACTCCATACATGCATTACAGAGAGATACCTGTGTTCAGCAGTCACTCGAGTCACGACGCCTGTCAGCACGCTGCTCTTAAGAGCCCCCAGAGGGCATGATGGGTAAACACCAACCACATACCCACAATACATCAGCCCTGAGACCCCGTGACAAACCGTCAACATGCGCTAAACATGTCTGACTGTGAAGCTGCTCTAATCGATCAGTCGAGCTTTCTGAATAAAACACAGCTCTCTAATACAAGCATTAACTCAAAGCTTCAAAAACATTTCCAGAAGCATCAGTCTGCCATCTGCAGCACGCCTGAGGAGCGACGCTCACCTGCCTACACACAGAAACACAGCTAAAACAACTAAATATGATAAATAAATATTAAAAACACACATTTTTTTAATGAAAAACTACAACAACAAAAAAAAAAAACTCAAAGGAATTAAATTAGAAATGTTGTCTTGGCAACTAACTGAAATAAATAGATTTTACTTGAAGTACTAAAATTATTAAAGTGAACAAAATCAGGGTTTAGCATGCCAATAGACTGACCTAAAATGCTTAAAAATATGATAAAATACATATTTTATAAAAGTGTATATATATATATATATATATATATATATATATATATAATATAAAAATATTATTACGCTGCAACAGAGACAGACAAACTAAAAATCTTTTGTCAGATTATGGCTTCAATATTTTGTGTGTGCATGTTGGCGTAGCTGAAACGCCCCTTTCATTTGATTGGTCAAACAGCCCCGTCTTCTGTTCTGCATGAATTCATACACTGATCGTGAGGGTTGTTTATTACTTTTATATGTAATAATAATTATGACTGAAGTAGGCATTACCTGTTTTTCTAGGTCAAAAAAAAAATTTCTGTTTGACCAATCAGATGAAAGGAGCGTTTCAGCGACGCCCACATGCGCACATGAAATATTGAAGCCATAAACCACAAACAAAATAAGAGACGAGCCGAAATCTTGTTTTTTCCGTTTGTTTAACAATCATTTCTCGTGTATTCCGCCACAGAACGCCAACTTTCAATTTTTAGTACATACAGAAAATCTGAAAAATTAAATATTGACAGTTTTTTAACCGTTTTTTACAATTTATCAAATCATTCTGAATTCCCCCAAATCATTCCTGAATCAAACAGAACGGATTCGCCATCTACCCAAAGACTCACACTCCTACTTAACTTTGCAAACCACACCAAATGTAAATATGAATATAAGTATGAGCATATAAATGACACCAAATCAAATGGGAGAATATATAAGCTGGTTAATGAGGTTGTCTAACAGAACTAAATCAGATTCTGATCTCTCCAGATGATTGAGTAGCAGCAGGTCAAAGGTCACAGAGGTCAGGGTCAGCACGGGTTTCTCCTGCAAGCCTCCTGAAGGAATAGTCACATCCTGACACCGAAGCGAGAGAAGATAAGCACTTCCTCTCAGCTGAGGAGGAAACGGAGCTGTGTGTCAAACAGGTCTGTGGGAACTTCGTAGTAGGCAGATCGTGAAGTCGACTACGGAGGGCTTTTCTTTACAAAAACACAGTTTGGCAAGCCAAAAGATACTATACTACAAAAAATACTGAACTATACTAAAGTAGTCTATGTAACATTTTAAGTATATATATTATATAAACATTTTATATATTTATAAATATGTTTTAAGTTTACATTATTATGAAACAATATTTAATTTTTTTTTACTAAATATGAACATTACTTAACCATTTTTTAAAATAAAATACTATAGTAAAAGTTTAAAATACAAATTTATAATTTAAAATTTTTTAAATAAGTTTATAAGTTATAAGTTAATAAGTTTTAAGTTATATTAATATTGTAAGTTATATTAAAATATTAATTTTATTATAATAAATTAAATATAAATTAATATTTTAAACTTATAGTACTATATTTAAAAAAATAAAACTATTATAATATTAAAAAGATTAAATTAAATTGAATACATAGTTAATTTCTTATTTTACATTAAAATAGTTTCATATTTTGAAATATAACAAGTTTACAATATTTGTAATTTATATTAAAATTATAATCATTTTAAAATTAAACGCTAAGTGTATTCATCTATAAAATGTATATCAATAAAATATTAATGTATGAATTCTATAATATATTATTTGTATTTTATATATATATACACACACATTAAAAATCACAGTACAAAACGTTTATAATATTAATAATTTATACAAACCAGTAGGCAATTTCTTTCTGGTTTAAATTATTATTATTTTTTAAAGATATATTTACAGAAAAACAAGGCAACTACTTGAATGTGATACTAAAAATATGTTTTTTGTTTATATATATATATATATAAAATTTGTTTTATTTTTCCTTTATAATATTATTTATTATGACCAGAAATTTTGAAAACTACATTAGACAAAAAAACATTAGTATAAAACACTGCAGACAATCCAGATTTATAAAGAAGTTTTTAAAAATACATTTTATAAAAATTAAACATTAAAATCACACTAAAAGCTAGTCTTGGATATGTCTAACCCCAACCCCATCCCCATCAGTGACGTAAACCCCCCCAAAATAAAGTTATTCTGAGAGCTCTGCAGCATCTGAACGTCTGAAGGAGAGGCTGCAGGTTCCTCCGAGAAATGAAGGCCATACGCTGCATGAGACGGCTGGATGTCCTGTGCTTTTGCACTCTCTGCTCTAATCCGGCGGTCTGGAATCAATCACGAGGATGAGCTTTAATTGAGGAGATGCTCTGCCAGCCGGATCGGGTCATCGGTTCATCCGGTGGCACTCCATACATGCATTACAGAGAGATACCTGTGTTCAGCAGTCACTCGAGTCACGACGCCTGTCAGCACGCTGCTCTTAAGAGCCCCCAGAGGGCATGATGGGTAAACACCAACCACATACCCACAATACATCAGCCCTGAGACCCCGTGACAAACCGTCAACATGCGCTAAACATGTCTGACTGTGAAGCTGCTCTAATCGATCAGTCGAGCTTTCTGAATAAAACACAGCTCTCTAATACAAGCATTAACTCAAAGCTTCAAAAACATTTCCAGAAGCATCAGTCTGCCATCTGCAGCACGCCTGAGGAGCGACGCTCACCTGCCTACACACAGAAACACAGCTAAAACAACTAAATATGATAAATAAATATTAAAAACTATATATATATATAATATAAAAATATTATTACGCTGCAACAGAGACAGACATTTGACTGAATTCATGTCTCATGAGCTTAAAAACCTTTTGATCTGAAGGCTTTTGCTGAAATCGAGATTATTTTTGTAGACAAATATAAATTGTGCCCATGTATACATTTCTTTACAAAACTAAAAAAAAAAGAATAAAAGTCAAAATCTGCCATGATTAACTCACTTCAGAGAAAACATGAGTTTTCTGGACTACTTGCATGCTTTTTTATTCACTTTTATTCATATAAAAATAAAACGGTGAACATTCAAACACATTATTTTGAGTTTGTTTGATTCTTAAGTGTATATCACGATCATATTAGAAGGAAAAAATAAGATACTTCACATCCATTTGACTAAAAACTCAAACCCAAGTCAAACATGAGCGAAAGTAAATGACGACAGAATGTTTTTTTGGGGTGACCCGTCCCTTTAAGAAACAAACGCGAACAAAGAGAAAGCAGACAGGTTTGTGATGTGCTGAAGGTCTGACCTGCGGCGCTGCTCGACTGCCAGCTCTTGGCTGCGGCTGGAGGGACTCGCGGGGCTCCAGCGGGCGCTTTGCTCATGGTTTTGACTGAAGACGTGGCATGAGAACTGGGCTGAAGCTCCTCTGCAGCCTCGCTGGAGAGAAAGACAGAAATAAAGGGACTTTAAAAACCCTGCTAGACGACAAAACAAACACTCAAACATGCATCAGAAATCTCTGAGAGCACATTCGGATAAGCCTGATTCATCTGAACGTCGTTTACAGTCACGCATAAGCAAATATGACCAAAATGAGCAGATTGATCAAATACGAGCGGCGCAGCGGTCCCAGATGGTTTGTTAATGAACTAAACCAGTGCCAACTTAAAGATAGCTGCTGCTGAGATGCTCCAGTTTCACTAAGTCACAAAACCTGTCGACGACATGCCCGGGTCACGCTTATTCTCAAAATGAGAATAAATAAAAATTATATTTGGCTTTACAGAAAATATTCATAGTAGTAAAACAGGCTTTATTTTTTGGTTTCATACAGATTAATGCTTCAATCCTTTGATTGCATTACTTTGCATGAGATCCTAATACACAAAAGGAGACAATGTTGTTACACTTTCGATACGGTCTTTTGTTTTGTTTATGTTGAATAGAATAATATTTTTTTGGGTGAACGTATATGTAAAACAAGTAAAACCAAAAGAGTTGGATGATAAAAAAATTATTTAAGAAAAAATATTTTCTTTATACATATTTTGTAATTAAACATCTTGCAAGATCAAATTTTCATTGCTTTAAATTGCTCAAAAAGAATATATTTAAATAGCTAAATATTTATACATCGTTGTAGCACTTGTTGTACTGCCTTTATGCTGATTTAAATCAAATATAATAACGTATTTTTTATTGTATTACAGTAATGAAAATAATCAGAATCATTACCGAGAAAAAAAATATATAATAACATATTAGCATTAATACATAATCAGCACTCAGGTTTCTCTCCTGGTCACATCTCTACATTACACAGAGCTTTGATTGAAACTCATTTAATTTCTTTAGAGTCCAGTGTGTCGTTCAGTTTTGTGGGCTCCTGAGGATAAATGTGACAATAAAAAAAATGTATAAAGAAACTGAATGAGAGAGAAATACAGAGAGAGGGATGCGTGGCCACAAGGTGCAATCATATCTATTATTTATCTCTATTAAATAAATATCAGAAAAGTCCAGATCTCCTGTCATAGATGGGTGTTGTGTGTCAGTGCCTGACGGCTCTATAAAGGTTTGTGGGACGAAAGATCTGATACACAAAAGCTCATCAATCTTTTCAAATGACTGAACGACCCTGAGCTTCATTAGTGCTGCTTTAAGGTTTTCTGTGCGGTGACGAACATACAGATACAGCTCCATCCGCTTGAATGGGGAAAGACAGAAAATTACATTTTAAAAACATTTTACATGTGCAATAAATTCTAACCAGTAAAACCTAGCATTTTCTGGATGATCCAGATAGCAGCAGCTAAATAAGAGTACTAGTCTTCACATGAGACAAACTTTAGCAGAGATCACTGTATTTATGCACACTTCATATATATTTAAGGTATGAAATACGCTGCAATTGGTATTATAAAATGACAAATATAAAGTATATTAATAATAATAACAATTATTATTACATTAAAATTACCCAAAATATAATAAAACAATGTTTTAATAATAACTACAGACACTACGACTAATAATGATTATTATTATTATAATTATTAAATGCTACTGTGCAAAAGTCTTGCAATAAATTGTAATAATCCAATTTATCTGATCTAAATTATGAGATTTTTGTAAGCACAAGGAGTCTGACAGCAGCCAGTGCTGCGCACAGAGATCTGATCTCAGCATCATCCAGTCTGTCTGGGATCACATGAAGAAACGGAGACAGACTAAATCCAGAAGAACTGTGGCAACGTCTCCAAGACGCCCGAGGAAAGCTTCCAGCAAAGCTCCTTGAAAAACGACGCACAAGTTCAGAGGACAAAAGCGGTTTTAAACGCAAAGGGTGCTCACACCGAATGTTGATTTGATTTCGTTAATAGAAGTTATTTGATGAATAAAATCTATTTATGACATTATTTTTGAACGCATTATTTTTTAAATCTCTTTGTGGAGCACTGGTTGTTGTCAGACTCCTTGTGCATTTATTATTATTATTTTTTAATTAATATTAATGGCCTAAGACTTTTGCACAGTAGTGCATAATAAAATATATATATAACATTCACATGCATGCAGACACACTTCCATTCATAAGTTGAGAATAATTGTTGTGTTTTTGGTTTTAGAAAGAAGTCTCTTCTGCTCACGAAGGCTGTATTTATTCAATCAAAAATACAGTAATATTTTAAAATATTACTATAATTTAAATAGCTGCTTTCTGTGTGAATATGTGTTAAACTGTAATGTATGTCTGTGATGCGCAGCTGTATTTTCAGCATCATTACTCCAGTCTTCAGTGTCACATGATCTTCAGAAATCAGTATAATATGCTGATCTGCTGCTCGAGAAACATTTCTGATTATTATCAATGCTGAACACAGTCGTGCTGCACAATATTTTTGTGGAAACTGTGATGCGTTTTATTTGTCAGGATTCACAGATGAACAGAAAGTTCAAAAGAACAGCATTTATTTGAAAGAAATAGTTTGTAATATTATAAATGTCTTTACTGTCACTCCTGATCAATTTAATGCAGCCTTGATAAATAAAAGTATTAATTTCTTTAAAAAAAAAAATCTTACTGATTTACTAGTGTATAAATAAGTGTATAAATGCTTCCTAAAAACATTTTTAATGGAATTACAGTTGTTAAAGGGGTCATATGATGTTGCTAAAAAGAACATTATTTTGTGTATTTGGTGTAATGAAATGTTTATACTGTTTAAGGTTCAAAAAACACATTTTCCACATACTGTACATTATTGTTTCTCCTCTATGCCCCGCCTTTCTGAAACTTGTTGATTTTTACAAAGCTCATCGGTCTGAAAAGCGAGGTGTGCTGTGATTGGCCAGCTATCCAGTGCGTTGTGATTGGCTGAATACCTCAAGCGTGTGATGGAAATGTTATGCCCCTTACCAGGTCCAGGAAGCTTTCCTCCGTAAAATGCACTGCACACACTCATTATTTGGGTTGAAGTGTTCTGGAACAGTGTTGTAAATACAACTTAACCACTGATTTCTAGTCGTGTCTTCTTTTGGAAGACCAAACAAAGTAGTTTCGCTTCCACAACGAAACACACAGCGTCTTCACAACATGACGGCGGAAACAACAATACAGTTTATTAAATTTACGCCTTCGTTCTTTGCGTGAACATTTGGGCGGCGTTATGCAAATCTTCCCACATAGTGACGTAGACATGTGGGGGCGTGTTAGAACGAGCCGTTTTAGGAGGGTGTGAACCAATCTTCACTTTTATAAAGAATATCTCCGAGTTTGAGACTTTAGTCTTTGCGACTTTACGGATCTTCTGTTTGCACGAACAACTTTTAACTCTACAAAGACAGGAAAAAATGAAATTCCATCATATGACCCCTTTAATGAAATCTTTGAGGAACTCCAATTGTCACGAATCAGTCACTAGAAAACTCAACCACTAAACCAACAGTAAACGCAGTGGTTCCCAAACGGGGGGCTCGGAGCTATGATAAGAGGGGCACGGCAAGCCTGAGGGATAGTGTACAGTCAGCAGATTATTTTGCAAAAGAAACCTCTGCAGTGTGATAAAGACTACACTGCGTAATTTTCACGCTTATCATGCAGCCACTTGCCTGACAAGTAAACAATTGAATGCAAAATATTAATTTGACCTCATTTTAATTACCTCAATATGACTCTCACTACCCGCTTGAGCGCTCCGTTATCAGTTGTGGTTGTATCAATAACATTACTCCAGTCTTCAGTGTCACATGATCTTCAGAAATCAGTATAATATGCTGATCTGCTGCTCGAGAAACATTTCTGATTATTATCAATGCTGAACACAGTTGTGCTGCACAATATTTTTGTGGAAACTGTGATGCGTTTTATTTGTCAGGATTCACAGATGAACAGAAAGTTCAAAAGAACAGCATTTATTTGAAAGAAATAGTTTGTAATATTATAAATGTCTTTACTGTCACTCCTGATCAATTTAATGCAGCCTTGATAAATAAAAGTATTAATTTCTTTAAAAAAAAAAATCTTACTGATTTACTAGTGTATAAATAAGTGTATAAATGCTTCCTAAAAACATTTTTAATGGAATTACAGTTGTTAAAGGGGTCATATGATGTTGCTAAAAAGAACATTATTTTGTGTATTTGGTGTAATGAAATGTTTATACTGTTTAAGGTTCAAAAAACACATTTTCCACATACTGTACATTATTGTTTCTCCTCTATGCCCCGCCTTTCTGAAACTTGTTGATTTTTACAAAGCTCATCGGTCTGAAAAGCGAGGTGTGCTGTGATTGGCCAGCTATCCAGTGCGTTGTGATTGGCTGAATACCTCAAGCGTGTGATGGAAATGTTATGCCCCTTACCAGGTCCAGGAAGCTTTCCTCCGTAAAATGCACTGCACACACTCATTATTTGGGTTGAAGTGTTCTGGAACAGTGTTGTAAATACAACTTAACCACTGATTTCTAGTCGTGTCTTCTTTTGGAAGACCAAACAAAGTAGTTTCGCTTCCACAACGAAACACACAGCGTCTTCACAACATGACGGCGGAAACAACAATACAGTTTATTAAATTTACGCCTTCGTTCTTTGCGTGAACATTTGGGCGGCGTTATGCAAATCTTCCCACATAGTGACGTAGACATGTGGGGGCGTGTTAGAACGAGCCGTTTTAGGAGGGTGTGAACCAATCTTCACTTTTATAAAGAATATCTCTGAGTTTGAGACTTTAGTCTTTGCGACTTTACGGATCTTCTGTTTGCACGAACAACTTTTAACTCTACAAAGACAGGAAAAAATGAAATTCCATCATATGACCCCTTTAATGAAATCTTTGAGGAACTCCAATTGTCACGAATCAGTCACTAGAAAACTCAACCACTAAACCAACAGTAAACGCAGTGGTTCCCAAACGGGGGGCTCGGAGCTATGATAAG